GTATTATTCAACATCAGTTTCAGAAATACAATGCGGTGGTCAGGCCTCTACATCAACTATGAAGTGGACTCCCCAAAAGGGCATTGGTCCATCTGTAGGCCTCAGTTTAAATATATCTCCTTTCCTTGACCCTTCTTTGTAAAATATAATTCCCTCTGTCCCCTCTCCTTTAAAAAGAAGTCTTTATTCTCAAAGGTAGAGATGTGTTTCCTCCATAGCACTTACCATAGTTTGCAACAATGCATTTAATAGTATATTTTATCTATGTACTTACTGGTTTAACGGCTACCTCTCTGTGGTAGGCAGAAGAATAGAACAACCCCTCAAAGATGTCTACCTCATAATCTCCAAAACCCATGAATATGTTATGTTACACCACAAAGAGGAACTAAGATTGAGAATAGAATTAAGGTTGCTAATCAGCTGACCTTGAAATGGGAAGGTTATTCTGGATTATCCTGGTGAGTCAGGATCCTTGTGAGTGGAATAGGGAGGCATGACAGGAGGTCAGAGTGATGTGAGGAGGATTCAACTTGCCATTGCTGGCTTTCAATATGAAGGAAGGGACCACAAGCCAAAGAACGCAGATAGTCTCAAGAAACTGGAAAAGGCAAGGGAGTGGATTCTCCCCCAGAGCCTCCAGAAGGAATGCAGCCCTGTTGACCCATTTTAGATTTCTGATCTCCAGAACTGTCAGAGAATAAATTAGTGTTGCTTTAAGCCACTAAATTTGTAGTAATTTGTTACAGCAGCAGTACAAAGATGTTATACTCCCCATTAGGTCACCATTTTGATGAGGGCAGGAACTATGTTCTGCTCACCATCACAGCCCCAGCATGCAGTAGAGTCCTTTGTATAGAGTAGGATCTCAATTAATACTGGTTGATTTATATAAATAAATGAAGTGTGAGCATTGCCTTACACATCATCCCTCCATAACGCCCCTCATTTTGGAGTGGCCTTCTATCCAAGGGGCTGAGCCCAAAAGAGGCCAGTATCTTCCCAGACAGTGTGCTTGATAGTAGAGAGAAGCTGGAAGCTTAGGAACACCTACATCTTTTATTTCTCAGAAAAAGAGTGTACAGATATTCTTTTTCATACTTACATATATACAGATACCGATTTTTAAAGAACCTATTCTGGAGCAGCTGTTATGTGTCATGTTATTTGTGGAGGGAGGTGGTGATGTCCTGTTTTCCCACATGTTATATCTTCTTATTTACTCCTTGCTTTGGCAAGGTAGAGAGTCCTAGCCCTATTATGAAAAGGCTCAGAGGAGGTATGAGTCCTGCCCAAGGCCACACAGCCAGTGATTATTAGAGCTGGAACTGGAATCCAGCTCTCTAGACAACAAACCCAGTAATATCTTATTCTTTTATAACTGCCACATACCTCCACTGCTTATACACAACCTCCCATACACCAGACTTTTTTCAATTACAATTGACATACAATATTATATTAGTTTCTGATTTACAGCATAGTCACAGTGGACCTATCTTATCTCTTCCCATATACCACATCCTGAGCATTCCACCTTTTCCCTGCTGACGTGATACACCCTGCCTTTTAGCAACCATTTTTTCCCGCATTTTCCCCCTAGTGAAACAAGCAGTAAGTTGAATATAAAGGTCACAGAATTTGGCATCCCAACCTAGGTCTGAATGCTCACTTGGCAACTTATGGACAGTGTGATCTTTGGCACTTTCTTCCGGTCCACAGCTAAGTGCTATCTTTCATTTCCAGCTTCAACTCTCCCTTTAAATGCAGTTATATTTCTCTTGTCAGGCTGCTGTCTTTATTGCCTATGTTTACACACACACACACGCATACACACCACCACTACCACCACCACCACCACCACCACCACCACCACACACAAGCACTCAACATTAACTACGGACACTATTTATTGTGTATTATGTGTCAGGCACCTTGCTAAGTACTTGATGTACATTAATACTCACCTAAACCTCACAACAACCTCACACCATAAGTATTATTATTTCCACATTATAGATGAGGAAGCGGAAGCTGAGAGATTAAGTTAATTGCTCCAGTTCACTGACACATGAAGATGACAGGATATGACCCAGATGCTCTGATGCAGGACCCACACTTTTAACTACTACACTCACTCAGTTATTCTAGATATTCTCTCTCTCTCCCTCTCTCTCTCTCTCTCTCTCTCTCTCTCTCTCTCACACACACACACACACACACACACACACACACACNCACACACACACACACACACACACACACACACACACATTGCACATTCACACCTTGGAGACTTTCCCTGGCTACTTCTTCCTGGAAAGTGAAGATGGCACAGGGGAGTAATGAAAGTGGTACATCAGGCAGAAGGAACAGGATCTACGGAGTCAAGGAAGCAAGAGAGATCACAGAAATTTAGAGATCTGCCATGAGGCTAGAGCACTGAGTCATGTCGCAAAGAGGCTCCACCTCACATATGCCTCCAACTCAACATTTAAAAAAACATTTCTGATCTCTCTCAAACTTGTCCTCACATCTCCTTCTTTCTCAACAACCTCCCCTCATTTCAGTCTATTGCCATGTCCTATCAATGGGCCTCTTAAATAGTTCTGAAATCTGCCCACTTCTCTCCATGTCCATTGTCACATGAGTCAAAAGGACAACTGCAGCAAGTTTCTAACTGATTTCCCCACATCGTTTCTGGCTTTCAAATCTATTCTCCACAAGGCAACCAGAGGAATCTTTTCAGTATGTAAATCTGATCATGTCACTCCCCAGCATAAAAGCCTTCAATGGCTTCTTCCCTTTGCTCTTATGATGAAGAATAGAATCTTTGTCAGGGCCTTTAAAAGCCCTTTATGGTCTGGCTCCTGCCTATCTCTCCAGTCTCTCAACCAACTCTCCCTGTTGTTTTTCTTCCCAGCCACACTGGCCTTCTTTCTGTTTCTAAAATGTATCATGCTTTCTCTAATCCATCCCCTACAAATATCTTTACATATTATTTATTCTTCAGTAGCACATTATTTATTCTGCAGGGGGCACATGATTCTCCAAGCCCACAACTTACTTAGTTAACATCAACTCAATCCTTCCTTTCGATCAAATATCAATTCTTATGGAATTTTCTAAAATGTAGTCAGGCCCCCTGACATATGTCCTCAGAGAACTAGCCACCCTTCCTCCACAGAACTTACCACAGTTTGTAAGTATGCATTTATTTGAGTCTTGAGTTGATTAATGTATGTCTTCTCAAGTAGACTACAAGTTCCATGAGGGCAGAAACAATGTCTATTTTTGATCACTATTGAATGACAGTACCTAGAACAGTGTTTGGTATATAGTATAGTTGGTAGTCAGTAAGTATGAAAAAGTGAGAGGTAGTAAGTTCACAAAGTTTTCCACTTCACATTAGAGGTCTTTAATTTATCTTCAGGGCAATGAGGAACTGCTGATAATTTTAAAGCAGGGGAGTGTCTTGATCAGATTTTGATTTTAAAAATGATAATGTTGCAGGCCAGAGGAATACAGATTGGAAGGAATAAGATAGGGTGTGGGGTATAGAACTCAGTTTGGAAGGCATTGTAATAGTTCAGGCAAAAATAATGAGGATCTGAACAATTTCATCTCTTGTGGGCCAACCATTTCTCAATCCACCCATCTCTCAACTCACTCCACAAATGATCTGAGATAACTCACTACATAAATGCAATAAAATTATAAAAATAAATAAATAAAATTTTAAAGTCAGGATGATGGATGTGAGAATCAAGAAGCCAAAACTGGGCCGGCTGAGTGGCGCGTTGGTTAAGAGCTGACTTGGGACGCCAGCTCTGAGCAGCAGGACCCCAGTTCGGATCCCACATAAGGGCCAGTGATGCTGTGCCCTCTACAGCTAAGATGGTGAACAACAGCTCGACCTGGAGCTGGGCTGCCGTGAGTCGCCAGCGACGGCGTAGGATGCAGCCCCTGCTACAGTGGGCTGCCATAAGCTACCATGTATAGCCAGCAGCCAGTGTGAGCGGCCGGCAGTCAGTGTGAGCTGCCGTGAGCCACCGTTAGTGGCCGTCCAGAGGCTGGCGACTGATCTGCCTCACCTGGGAAGAGCACAATGATAATACCAACATGGGCCAATGAAGCAACGTCTTCCACAACTAGACTGAAGAACAAAAGAACAGCAACTTGTCTGTTCCCCTTCCCCGATTCCCCAGCGTTGCTCCCCTCCTGCAATTCCCCAATAAAACCTTAAAAAAAGAATTTTTAAAAAAAGAAGTCAAAACTGAAGAACCCTGTTGATGATGAAAGAAGAAAAGAGATCAGTAGGAATAGAGCACAGATATGGAAGCCAGTAGGGCTCACACAGTTGAACTGTGAATTTGGCTCTGATCATCCTGGTGTCCATGTGAAAAGGGAGACACAATCAGTCACATAGTTTTCGTTGCAGAAAAGGAAAAGGCACATTCATTCTTCAATTATGGACTTAGGATGGTAGTATTAAGAATAGAGAGAAGAAGATAAATTAGACAGAGTTTAAAGAGGTGTAATTGCTGGGACTCAGTGATTAGAAGCCCTAGAAGAGGACCAGTTTGTGGGACAAGGAGAAAATGATAAAGTTTTTGGACATGGTTAGTCTGAGGTACCCATGAACCATCCAGGTGGAGAGGCCCAGGAAGCAGTTAAGCAGTCTCATCTCAACATTCCCTCCCACATTCCCTGCCCTCCCTCAACCAACATTCACTTCCTCTATGTTGGAATCACACCTAATCATCTCCAGGTAGATCCAAAGCTCTTTTCCTTTGAGCCTATTGTCCCTTCAGTTTTGTAATTCTTTTCCACCTGACCGACTCCTATTCACCTTTCACTACCCAAGCAAAATGTCATTTTCTCTGGGAAACTTCTTCACCTCCCATAGAAACTCCTTTCCTTCTTTGTTCTCCCAGTATGATTTGGACACCCAACTCTCCCACTTTCCTGTAGTTACTTTTGTCTGCCTTCCCTATTAGACTGTCAACTAATGAACCTGCTCCAGAGAAACTCCATGGGGGAGAAAGAAAGCAAACCCTCTGCTATGGGGACCTGAAAGTAGAAGGTGAGCAACCCAGAAGATAGGTGGGGAAGACTCTCCCTATGCAGATGGGAACAAGAGCCAAAGAAGAGATCTTAAGGGATATAATGCCTGGAAGCAGTACCTGCTAAGGTTAGAGGAGCCCCTGGGCCCCTGGCCCCAGAGCAACCTGGGAGGCACACTGTGGAAAGGATAGCATGAAGAACTGAGAACCTGGGCCCAGAATCTACCTGCCTCAGCTTAGACTCAGCCCAGACAGGGAAGGGTGGGGCTGAAACTCCACACAGGAGTTGGGCATCCCAGTGATGAGTCAGGGCTAGGCATCAGCTCTGTTACTGGGCAGCTTGGGCCAGGAAAATGAGTGTTAGTTTTTGTTCAGAGATTGAGGGATAAACTCTAATTTTTGCATTGTTTTTGTTAATCCCTCTCTGTTTGCCCTGGAGTTACAAGTGGTTAAAGAGAACTATCTGACCCAAGTGTAAAATCCTTCACTGGTGTTCTGACACCAACAGGCCAAAGTCCAAGCTCCTGAGCAAGGCATAGATGACCAGCCTCATCTGTCCAGCTATTTATCACCCTGCTCTCCATTCATATCAATCATTGGACTGAAAAGAAAAGTCATGTTTTCTGACTCCTGTGGGCCATTGAGCATGCTATCCCCACTGCTTAAAGTGCACTTTCCCTGTTGGCTTCCTCCTCTACCTTAAGAACTACTACTTTTCTTCTAATATCAGCGTACCTTATCTGAGAGGTCCTCCCTGACCATCACCACTTTCCCAGACTGAATTTGGTTCCCCGGCCCTGAACTCCCACAGTCCCTTGAGGTTCCTTTTTAATTTGTACTCAGTATTTTGTGGGAGAAATGAATACAGTGCCCCCCATTGGGTGAAAAAGGGGGAGAAATTAAGATGTACATATTGCCAGTTATAAAAACAGTCATGGGGATGTGAAGGGAATATAGTCAATAACATTGTAATAATAATGTATGGTGTCAGAGAGGTACTAGAGTTATTGGGGTGATCACTTCGTAAGTTGTATAAATGTCTAATCACTATGTTGTATACCTGAAATGAATATAATATTGTATACGAGCTGCAATTGAAAAAAATTTTTAATACAATGCTCCCCAAAAGGACATATGGGCTTATTGGGAGTCAGGGAGGAGGTTGGGCAATATTATGTAACTCTGGAATGAAGGGGCTGAACATCAAAGTGTGTTGAGTTCTAGTCACAGCTCTGCCACTAATGAGCCCTATGACCTTGGATTGATTATTTTACTTCTCTAGGCCTCCATCTCCCCATCTGTTTGATGGTCCCTTCCATTTCTGATATCTGAGGATTTTTTAAATGTTGGAGATAGAGGTAAAGGAATCCATGGGAGAGAAGAAAAGGATTAATGAAAGCCAGCCTGCCACCACAATAAACGTTACAGATTTAACCGGCAAGAATCCTGTGACCTTTTCAGCCTGGCAGGTACTGCTTATTATTTATAACATGCCATCCAGTAGTGTGTGCAGTGCTTTACAGATCACTGAGCCCTTTCACTAACGTTATTCCATTTTACACCAGCCAGTGAGAGAAGCAGAACAAGCATTTAAAGGCTATCCCTGTTTTACACAAGAAAACAGAGAAAGAAATAGTTATCCCAATGAGTGCTCAAATGACTTACGGTTAAAATACTTGCAGTGACCCTGTATAGAGGGACAACCTTTCTATTATAGTTTGTCAAGGATGTGGAACTTTCAGTTTTAAAACCAGAAAAGTTCCAGGCACACCAGAAAGTTTGATCATCTACATAAGTAACTAACCCTCCTGCCCCTTAGTGTCCTTGAGGCAAGGGGCTGTAGCTGGGGAGCAGTGGGGTAGTATCATCCTTTTCCCATGGTCCTGCCCTACTGGGGACCAGGAGGCTAATCTAGCTAATTCTCCTCCAAACAGATTTACATATGACCGGGTCTCTCTTGGCTTAGTGGTTCAGAGCCCTAGCTGCAAATTAGAATCACTTGGGAAGATTTGCAAAAATAACTATGTCTGGACCCCACCCTAGATCAATTAAATCAGAATTCTCTGGCTGGAGTGAAGTCTGGGCATCAGTATTTTTAAAAGCTCTCCGGGTGATTCTAATGTGCAGCCAGTCCTAGGAACTACTGAGTCGAGCTGTTCTAAGCTTTAACCACAGAGTAGGTTGGGCCCCTGGATAGAAAAATTCCTCTCCAAAAGCCTCCTCCCTTCTTCTGCCTTGCTTAGCCTCCCAGCATACAAAACTTCCTTTAGACACTCAGAAGAGGCCCTCTGCAGAATGCAAAAGCCCTTCTCCACCCCTCCCCTTTTCCTGGCAGCTTAAGGTGATCCCCTTCCCGGAATTATTGGCATTTTTGCAAAGGAATTTTGGAAAGCATTCAAGATTCAAAGGACAAAGCACTAACGGTGAAAAATCAGACATTGGGGAGGTCTCTTAACACAGGGAGATGGGTTGGTCTATGCCCTTGTAATCACACCACCTAGGTAACCACTTACCTATTCAGCCTAATAATGGAGCCAAATTAAACTCCCTGACCCAGAAGGAGTGAAGAGTTGTGGGAGTTCCAATCTCCTTGCTGGAAGCTCTACAGTTCCCACAGGTCAGATGCTGTGGGAGAAGGGAGGAGCTTTTGGGGTGGGGAGGCCAGGCAAGGGAAGGGGAGATCTCTCCAAGGGGTTGGGGGCGGGAAACCAGGCTGAGTGTCGTCTTTAGCTCACTGCAGGCCATGCTGCACCTTATTTCCAGGGACCCCTGCCCTTGCCTTTCCCATCAGCTCCTGGCAGGCATTGCAGATCCACAGAATTTGTCAAGCCTGAGACTCTCAAAAATGAGAAGGGAACTGAATTGGAGGCCATCTAACTGACCCTCTGACCCTTTCCTTACACATTTCCAGTGGTGAGAAGCTCACTCCCCATACCTAGCTAGACAGCCTCCTCAATCACAAGAGAGCTAGGGCATTTGAAGAGCTTCTATTTAAATCCAAATCAATGTCCCTGTAATTTTTATCCTCCCTGGCTCCATCCAGCTCCTTAAACTATTTCCCTGAGTTGGGTCCACTCTCTCATAGCCTACTTACTTCCCCCTGGACAGACTCCAATTTGTCATTTGTCTCTGTACCTGTTAATGTGCCGTGCTGAAGCTGGACCCTGGAGAACTCTGCCCAATATAGGGATGAACTTCTTCTAGAAATGATTTTTATATTAATATAGGCCAGAATCTATCTCTCTGTCTCTGTCTCTGTCTCTCCCCCCCCCTCACACACACACACACACACACACACACACACACACACACATCACCAACCATAATATACACTCTCTACATGCTGATGTGTAATCTGCTTTTTTTACCCAACAATATTTCATGGACATTTTTGTATGTCAACTAATATACATCTATTTCACTATTTTAAGTGGCTGCATAGTATTTCATTGCATGGATGAACCATAGATTAATTAACCATTCTGCTATCAAAGCATACTTGGGTTGTTTCAATTTTGTACCATCAAAAAGCATTGTAATGAATAACCTTATGCATATATCTCTACACACTGGTCCACATTTATTCCTCAGTGGGTCAAAGGGTAAGCAAATTTTAAATTTTGATACATGTTGCCAAACAATCTTCAGAGATACTGTTCTAACTTCTATTTCCATGAGTAGTGTGTGCAAGTACTTTTATCCCACTGATACTAGGTATCAGTCATTTTAATCTTTGCCAAATATCTCTTTCATCTTTATTTTCATTTATTTAATTATTAGTGAGGTTGAGCATCTTTTCACATTAATTTAGCCATTTATATTTCTTCTTTTAAAATTATTGATTCATATCCTTTGTTCAATTTTCCTGAGGTGTTATCTTTTTATTATTGATTTATACAATTTCTTTATATTTTAAGGATATCAGCCCCTTGTACGTCAAATATCTTGCAACTATGTCTCCAGTTTGTCCCTTGTCTTTTGACTTTAATTTTTACAATACAAAATATTTTCTTTTTATTTTTCATCAATATTACCAATATTCATTTTGATTTTTCTGTCGTGTACTGCCAAGTTTATAAAAATATTAATCTATATTTACTTCTATATATTTAGGCCTTCATTCCAGCTACTATACCTTTCCTCCTCCTTCTGCCCTCCATCAGAACTCACTGTCTGGTACACATTCTCCTCTGCTTCCTGTTAGGTGACCTCTAGATGAAAGCTCATAAACTGAGATATGCTAATAGCTGCCAATGTATTCTCAGGCTCCCAGGTATGCTGTCATGACATGTTGATAGGGAATTCTTGGAAACAAGCATTGCCCCACAGGGGTACTCCTCATGGTATCATTTTGAGTGCTAAGATGGATAGGTGAAGGAAATGATTTGGAGGCAGCAAGTTCAGAGAGATAGATGGTATCATGGAAAGAGTACCAGGTTTAAAGTTAGAAAAACCTGCATTTTGGATCCCAGCAGTAGTTGTGTGTTATGATATCCCCTCTCTGAGACCCAGTTTCCTCACCCATAAAATGAAAAGACCACCATGTGTTCTTTATGGTTATCACTTGTTTGCCATCTATGTCCTCCCCATCTACTCTCATTCACCTCTGCACTCCCAGCATCCAGCACAGCACCTGACAAACAGTAGGTGTTCAGTAAATGTCTATTACCTGAATGAATAGACAGAGGAAGTGGCTGCAAATAGTAGGCATTATGTAAAGTGATTCCTGTGTTTTCCTTTCTTCTCAGAATCCCCGCTCCCACCCCAGAGCAGGCCCAGCCTTCAGCTGCTCCTTATGGAAGAAAGATCTTACATTTCTCCTCCCTTCAACCTCAGAGAGTAGGAGACTGCCTCCTGCTCCCTGATTAAGAACATGAGGTAGCTGAGAACCCCTGGGCTAAGGAGGAGCTGGGGGCAAAGGGAAGATTGCTGTCCATTTCCCTCAGTGGGACAGGGCACGCTGCCAAAGAGGTACCAGCCTTCTCTGAGGGCAGTACACCATACTCACATTCTGACTTAGAAGCCGGAAGCCTTGGAGTCCATAACCTTCCTATTTCCCAGAGAGAGAGGATGATCTAATCTGGGAGATTGAGACTGGGAACCCGCTGTTTATTTATTCTGTAACCCTGCAAAATTCACTTTCATTTCTCTGGGTCTCTGAAAAATGGAGCTCATAATGCTTGCCCTAATTCCTTCATGAGGAGCAAGTAAGAGAGTCCCACATATTTGTTATAGCACTTTATGAATGCACAGTTATTTCATTTCATTCTTAAAACTCCTTGTGGTGAGCATCATGTTGCCTGTGTTACACGATGTGAAACTAAGTGCAGAAGAGTGAAGTAATTTACCCAAGATCACACAACTAGAAAGTGGTAGAGTTAGATTCAAATTTAGGTCTGTCTGATTATAGCTATTCCTACTGAATGGTAGGCACTACAGATACCATCATCAATAAGTCCTGGTTCCTCAGGGTACTTACAGTTTGGTAGGGGAGGCAAATGTGTAAATAGATGATCAAGGCACAGGGTGATAAAATACAATGACAGAGAGACTATTGGAGAATGTAGGAGGGGTATCTAATCCAGCCCTGCAGAAGCAGAGAAGATTTCACAGAAAGATGGAGCTTAAGCCGAGACTTGAAGAGTGAGCAGTTCTCCACATAGGCCAGGGAGGGGGAACTCCTTCCGGGCAGAGCATGTACAGAAGCCAGAAGTCTGAGAACATACATCAGATAGAAAAAACAAAAACAAACAAACAAAAAACTTTAGTAATTAAAGCAGTTTGTTACCAAAGAAAGAACAAAGAAATCAGTTGGTCAAAATAGAGTCTAGACAGAGTCTCAAACACATAATTTGAATTTATGGTTATCCTCTGTTAAATTGCATTCAATGAATATTTTATTAAAAACGTACTGTGTGGTAAGTGCTTTATTTGGTACTGCGGGTAAGCTGTGGTGAAAAAAATCACTGCCCTGAAGGAACTTACATTCTAGTGAGAGACATAGACAATAAACAAGTAAATCGGTCTTATATGTAGTAAATTAGGTGGTGTTAAGTGCTAAATGATAAAGCAGAGAAGTAAATAGGAGATATGGGGACATCTGCAAATTTAGATAATGGAGGTCAGGGGAGGCTTCAGTGAGAAGGCAACAATTCAGTAGCAATATGAAGAAACTGAGGGAACAAGCAAGATATCTAGAGAAAGAGCATTCCAGGCAGAGGTATGAGCAAGGGAAAACGTCCTGAGGTGGGATTTCATAGGCTCTAAGAAAAACAAGAAAGCCCTTATGGCTGGATCAGAGTGGGAGAGGGAGAATAACAGGGGATTAGATCAGAGAGGTAGGAGGTGATTACCTTTGGATGGGAGTAAGTTATGGGAAGCTCGAGGGGTTCTACCTTTCATTTTCTATGCTGTTTGAATTTCTACCTGTAGACATGCATTAACTTGAGAGAGAGAGAGAGAGAGAGAGAGAGAGAGAGAGAGAGAGAGAGAGAGAGATGGAGGAAGGGAGAGAGAGAAACAGAATGTCAGATTAGGAGAATATGAAGAATGGCAGAAAGTTTTGAAGGTTCCAAAAGGGAAACACTGCAAGAGAAAACTTTGGAAAAGTAAGCAGGGGATAAATCACAAACAGGCTTAGGCTTAGTGTCAGTTTTTAATTTTATCCAATAAATATTGGTGAGCTAGTGAAGGCTTCAATCAGGAGTGACAGTCAGAGCTGGCTCTCTACTCCCACCCCCACCTCAAAATATGATGTTTCTCTGGAACCTATCATAGGCCAGTATGGAGGCTAGATTGCCCAGAGAGTCTGGGAGCAGAATAACCAAGCTATTGCAGCAATCCATGCTAGAGATAGTAAACTAAGGCAGAGGTGAAGAGAATGGATGTAAGAGATTCTTTTTTTCTCCCTTCCTTTTTGAAAGATATTAATTGTACCCTCTCCAGTCTTCCCCATATATCTATATTTAGGGAGAAAAACCAGCTGACCTCTAGGATCCCTTCCAGCTGGGGCATTTTGGGTCTTGAGATTTGAGGCACTTTATTCACCTCCTTCAGGCTCTTGGACTGGCTCATCATCTGCTATCATTACTACCCTCTCCCTCCATGATGCCCCACTCTGGGGAAGTGTTACTATTGTTTTCTCAAAGCTAGTGAAAACTGAGGAATAATTGAGGGCAGTCCTCAGTTCTTCCATCTTCAAGGACTCCTCTGGTATCCCAGGCTGAATGGAGGGGGTAGGAGCTTTCTGGGATATTTTGAATGCTTCCAAAAATAGCCTCAAGGCCTCAGTCAGAGAACGCAGGGCCAGGACACTGACTGAATGTTGGTACTCACAGTTTTTGCCAAGTTCCCACCCCAGGCTCCATCCTCTTACTGAATAAGTCAGTTTTCCCTCCTTCCTCAGCTGTCTCCTTGGAGGGCCCCACCCAACCCTGAAAAGTTTAAATTTAGCCCTAAGTCTTCATCTCTAACTTTGCTGGAAAAAGAGCCCAGGATATAGTAGCTTATCCTCTCTAAAAGTCCTTGTGAGTTCTGAAGTGGGACAGAAAATAAGACAAAAACAGGGAGAGATTAAGGCCAAGACACACGGCCATAGAAGTCAAGAAGCAGAGTAAGTGACACTGGGATATGAGGAAAATAGAGAAAGAATGACCAAATGACAAAGAGAAACAGAAAGAAAGAGATTAAAGGAGAAACACTCTGAGAGACTGGGGCAAAGGAGAAAGACCCAGCAATGAATAGAGAGGGCAAGAGAAAAGCAAAGTGAAAGTGAAAAAGATATGTAGGTTCAGAGACAGCTTGAGAAAAAGGAAGAACGGGAGGCAGAGAAAAGAGAAGGAACCTCACTCTCTTTTCCTGCCTTAAACAGCCTGTGGCTAGAGGCCTGAACTGAGAGCCCTGGAGGTAGTCCTTATGGAACCCAATTCCTCATGGTGGGAGCTGACAGGGTCCCCAAGAGGCCATGACAGACAGAGAGACCAAGATAAACTTGGCAGTGAGATCAAGCAGCCCTCATATTTGCATGGTGCTGTCATCAGGCACTCACATTCACCATGTACTGCAGATAGGCCAATGAATAGTCAGTCACCCTCAAAATAAGTGCACAAAAAAATGAGAACATTTTCTTATTTGATATTTAAAAACACTTCAAAATAGTCACTATAAGACATATCAGAATATTGATGAACTTCTTTATACTGATTTCAATGGCTTATTATTGTTTTATTTTGAATTACACACTATGGGCAGGGGAACCACAAGCTATTAATCACTTAAGGCCTTTAAAGGTCTTCACCTGACCTGCCACCATGGTTCTGGGTGTTATTGTAGGGTAATGGGAAGGACACGCTCCCCTTCTGGTCCTATTTGGATTCCTCTCTGACTGCCCCATCTCAGTCATCTTATCCAGGGTTTCTAGACAAGAAGTAGAAACTTTTCATAAACCTCTCCTTTGGGGGTTTTAAGGACCAGTGGGGGAGAAATTCAAGAGGTTTAGCCAAGAAGGTGAAGAAAGGGTGTCTGGTCTGGTGGTAAGGCATTGGACCACATAGGTTTAAGGCCCAACACTGCCCCTACAATGTTCTGTGACCTTGGGTGTGTGACTTCACTCTTCTGAAATTCATCCTCCTTCTTAATAAAATGGAACTAATGCTCATCAAGCTGGAGTTCTCATGAGATTAACAGGAGACTGAGCTATTAGAAACTACAAGTATGAGAAGAGTTCCTGTTATTACAAATAGCTTTAGGGAACGTCAGACCATTAAGGGCAACTTATCTCCTAGCACAGATGAGGCAACCAAGGCTCTCTAAGTTTTACTAGGGCAGGAATAGGAGACAGCACGGAAATCTGAGAGAAGCCTGGGGGAGGGGGAGACAGGGGAAACTGGAGCAGGGAGTTAAAGAATGGAAATCTGAGTTTTTTGTGTTAATAAAAACTGAGATGTGATTAATTAAGTGTTTATGGCCATGTTCGGGCTTTGTTTGGTGATGGGTTAGAGAGGAATTGTAAATATGTCTAATATGTAGAAAGCTTTTTATGACAGAAACCTTTGAAAAAGGAGCAGGGCCAGCCCATCAGGGACCCAGGAAGTAGCCACCTCCTTGCCAGCAAGAGCCTGGGTAGGACGTAGTAAGAGACAAAAGTCTCCAACCTGGCCAAATGTCTTTCTTGGGGGTTCCATGGCTCCTCAGTGCCTACGAGATTACATTATAATTCTAAACTCCTATTGTAGTATGTAAGTCCTGGCTTGATCCCTCACCAACCTTATTCCCAGGCTCATCTCTGGTTTTTCTCCATCCCTGTCTCCCTGACCTATAGCCATATTAAACTTCTGGTCACCACACCCTACATGTACTCTCTGCTTGAAATGTATCTATGTCAACCTTCCCTTTGCTTAGCTAAGGTAACTTATTCCTGTAGCCTTAGCTAAAGATCACCTTTCCAGGCAAATCTTCCTTGGCCATCCTCCATCCCTAATCTAGGATTCCATAATTTCTGCTTCATGCCTCCACCATTTAGCAATCTGGATTAACGTGCTTTGTCTTCCATAGATAATGACTTATTTGAGAGTGAAGACCGTATCACCTCCATCTTTGTAATAATAATCATAGCCAACATTTATCTAATTGTGCCAGACACTTTACACACATTAGCTATCACATGAACCCCTTGGAGGTGGATACTATGAAATAGCTCAGGTCACACAATGAGATATCAACATAAACCCATCAGAATTTCTGAAATAAAAAACATCAACAACACCAAATGCTGATAATGATATGAAGAAACTGAATCACTCATACAT